GTGACAAAACATGACCAGACTGGGTTTTGAGGCTAGTGTTCTTATTAAATCAGAATTCCAATGTTCCTATCAGGGATTTGCATTTCTGTTTTACTTTTTTCTTTATTGATTTGAGAGGGAGGGAGAGAGAGAAACATTGATGAGAGAGAACATTGATTGGCCGCCTCCTGCACACCCTATACTGGGGATAGACCCACAACCTGGGAAGGTGCCCTGGCTAGGAATCTAACCAGGGACCCCTCAGTGCATGGGTCCACTCTCAACCACTGAGCCCCACCGGCAGGCAGGAATTTGCATTTCTAAAATACATTCACATAAATAGATAATCCATAAAGACAGGCTTAAAGATAAAGTCTGCTTCTTTCTGTTTTCTGTAATGTAAATATGCAAGTTAGAATTTTGGATGTATGGCAGCTAAAACAAAGGGAGAATATACCCAAAGAATGAATTTATGCTATCTGGATAGTGCGGTACTTGGAATAGTAGAACATTTTAACAAAATAGGTGTTAAGAGTTTTGGAATTCCAAAAAGAAGACAACCCACCAGAGAAAATGATCAATGCTTGCTTATTTTACTTCTTTTGCTAGTAACCTTTTCTAATTGAGTCTTTGGGGAGGGAGAAGTTTAATTTGTTATGCTATTGAGAACAGAGGTGGCAGACTAGAGCGAGATTTGAAAAACAACCTAACAACAGATAGAACATTTTCTGTTACATTTCCTTTCAGGGAGGCGGGCTTAAAGTGGAGCCCAACCTGCTTCTAGTGCTGCTGGAAGTCATGCCATCAAGAATGTTTTAGCCCTGGCTGGTTTGGCTTAGCAGTTAGAGTGTCGGCCTGTGGTCCAGGGAGACCCGGGTTCAGTTCCTGCTAAGGGCACGTACCTTGGTTGCAGTTTGTCCCCGGCCCTGGTTGGGTCATGCAGGTGGCAACCACTCGATGTGTCCCTTTCATGTCGATGTTTCTCTCTCTCTCTCTCTCTCTCTCTCTCTCTCTCTCTCTCTCTCTCCCTCCCACTCTATCTGAACAAAAAATGAAAATCTCTCTCTCTCTCCCACTCTATCTTAACTAAAAATGGAAAAATGTCCTCGGGCAAGGATGAAAATTAAAAAAAAATGTTAAAAAGGGATGTTTTAAGCTTCTAAAGCCCAAACTAGCCTCTCTGTTTTCAGTTTCTCCTTGGGAATCTGGAAACTAAAAATACGAAAAAAATAGAGGAGGGGGCAGAAAAAAGGGAGCTCATTTTCCAACCGCTGTTGCTCTTTCTGATAAATCACATGACTATCCATCATAATCTACTGTCCCTTGAAGAATTCCACTTAATGGTTTTATTGCAAATTCCACACTGAATGATTGAATTACTATCAGTAAAATGACATTTGAGAACCTCTAATAAGCAATAATGCAAGCTAGTAATGTTCAAGTTAACAGGGGTTCATATACTTTAGTGATTAACTGAACTTCAGATCCACACAGATCCAACCACTGCTGAATATCATGGAGATGAGATGATTAGTTTATGTTTAAGAAAAATAATTAGAACAAGATGAAGAAGAAGTAAATAATATAACAAAAAGAGCTAAAGGGATGGGCAAGCCTAACAAATCAAAACAAGTACAGGAATGGGTTCTTTCAGATATGTGGCAATTCTATAAATAAACCTAGAGACTAAAAAAATAAAAAATAAAAGATCAGAAGTTCTGTACTCATTCACCTAGTGAACTAATCCACCCTATAACAAAAGTACTAATCCTCTGAACCTCAACTCCTGAATCTATACTTTTAAAGATTTGCCTTAGAGATCTGACATCATGGGACGGAGAAACATTATGGACTTTGATGTGGAAGGTCAGAGGTTTGAAAATTTTTTTGGCCACTGATTTTGCATCAGAGGCCTGCACAAGTTTTCAAATCTCGCTCAGCCTTAGAATTCTCTTCTGTAAAATGGTATTAACAGTACTTCATCCCCTGGATTTTCGAGACTAAACAAAATAATACTACTTGAGTATTACCCTGTAAACAAATAGAGCCTTCCTCTTTGTATCCTTCCTGTGGTAGATGAGCAAACCTCAGAATCTTCATAATAATGTGCGAAGTCGGTTTGCCCATCTCCATCAGAAGTGGCGAGGAATTGGCGAGTCTTATTTTGAGTACTTTTCCTCTTGAGGGAATGAGAGACTTAAAGTGCTTCCAGTCAAGACAAGCATAAATTACATGGCATCACTCAAGATCAATTTACAACATGAATAATAGTTACACGATCTGTCAGCGGGTATTAGCGCTTGGCAAGAGAAAACTGGACTGGAAAATTAGGAAGGTTGAAGGTGAAGAATAAAACGCCCCGAGGAGCACACACAGGACCTGCGAACACAACCTATCAGGGAACCACTTCCACTTTCAAAGGCTGCAACTCTGTAGCTTGAAAATTTCTGCATTTCTCAAAGAAAATCATGTCTAACCTGCAAGGGTATCTGAGAGAGAAAGGGAAAAAAAAGAGTAAATTTGAGTTTACTTGAAGAAAATTGAACTTTCACCATTTTAAAATTATTTACTTCCATTATTAAACTCATTTTGAGGCCACTCCTAAACATTCACATGTACTTGAGCATACATACATGGCTCATGAAGACAAAGTATTCTAACATATACTACAAACCTGCTTTAAAGATTTGTGAAACCTGTCTTCTCTTTGCCATTCCAGAAAGATGTAAGCTATAGACTGAAGAGTCCTTAGGATGTAGAAGAATATGCGTATTAAGACTTTTTAGGCTAGAAATTTAGCAATTTTAAGCCAGCAGAGGGCTCCCTGCTTTAACGTGGTTCTATACATGCCAAGCCAGCAAGAACTGTTGGTAAAGGACAACAGTACAGTTGATATTAGTCATGGGCCTAAGTATTTGCTGTACTCTTTGTTACGTTAAGAAGTATAAAAAGATGAATGAAACAAAATTGAGTTTCTACTTCTGGTGCTTGAGATATAACATCTTTTCAATTATGCAAAATGTAATCTTTCTCTGCTTTTCCAGTTCGAAAAATCAATGTGCTCCAATCCTGCTTTATGAGTCCACGTACACATCTGATGTCTGATCCTTTTAGTAATTCATTTTTCTCTGTTCAAAGGTTAAATAACATATTTTCAAAATGAGTTTAACTGACTGATCAGTGTCTTTAACCCAATGATGAACATCGGCAAAGCTCAATGAAGGACAATAGCATTAGCTGATTCAGTGCTTATGACTTTGATTACTGAAATTGTAATTTTAAAGCTAAGAAATGTTGGAAGATTAGAAGAAAAACATTTTTCAACTGTTTTCAGACTTCTCCCCTTTGAACCTCATGCTGCTTATTACTGCCAGTTCCCTCCCAATGAACCATGGGGCAGATATTTATAATCCCAATGAATAATGTATACAAAACGCCTGGGGTGATTTTATTTAGAGAGTTTTATTAACTTTATTGTGACAATTTATAATAACACAGAATTACTGCCTGCTCCTCAATCTACCAAAACAAATTGGCCAAACATATTAGACATATGCATCACAAATTAAGCTGCTGAACCAATTAATTCTGACAAATTCTATTCATTTTTATTTCAGTGATGTCTTTTTCTGTAATGGAGATCCTTAGGTTATGTGGTTTTCAAAGATAAACATAATCCTAGGCAGACAGCTAATGTCATACATTGTTTACGATGACAAAATGTACCTAAGCAGTTTTAGCAGAACAGTTACCTATGGTCAGACAAGGATGCATTTTACCTCCCTATTTGTTTCATTTGTACATAGTCTACATCACACAAGAAAACTGGGCTAGAGTCAAAGGAAGGAGGGATGAAAACTGGCGGAAGGAAAGTCAATAACTTAAGATATGCAGATTACACCATCTTATTGGCAGAAAGCAGCAATGATTTGCAACAACTGCTGATGCAAGTGGCAGAAGAAAGTGCCAAAGCAGGACTGCATTTGAACATTCAGAGACAAAATTCGTGACCGCAGAAGAAATATGCAATTTTGGTGTAGACAATGAAGACACCGAAGTTGTTAAAGATTTTGCTTTCCTTGATTCAGTCATCAATTCAAATGGAGACTGCAGTCACGAAATCAAGAGACACGGAAGGGCAGCGATGGAAGAATTGGGAAAGATTAGCAAGAGTCAAGGTGTTTCATTAGAGACCAAGGCTAAGATCATCCACATCCCCGTATTCCCAATTACTCTGTAGGGATGCGAAGACTGGACAGTGAAGAAGGCTGATTGGAAAAAAAAAAAATCGATTCATTTGAAATATGGAATTGGAGGAGAGCTACAGACACCCTGGACTGACAGAATATGAACAAGTGGGTCCTAGAGTAAATTAAGTCTGAAACACCAGTGGAGGCAAAAATGACAAAACTGTAGTTGTCCTATGTTAGGCACATCAGGAGAAGCGGAGGTTCTTTGGAAAAGAAAATATTACTGGGGGAAAACAGAAGGCAGCAGGAAAAGAAGAAGAGCAAATATGAGATGGATTGACTGCATAGAAGAAGCCACAGGCATGAGTCTCCCGGAGCTGAGCAGGGTTGCTGAGGACAGGATGTGTGGACATCACTCATTCATAGGGTTGCTGGAGGTGGATCCCACTCAGCGGCATATGACACAAGCAATTTTAGGCAACAGCGGAGGAAAAGGTGTCAAGTCAATGCACATGACGACTTCATTCTTTTCACTATTTTTATGTTTTCCCCTTCCTTTTCTTATTCTCGCTGACTTAGATTCTACCAGTGGATATAAGGTCATTATATTTGAAATCATGTGTTGTCAACCCTATCAATAAAGTAACTGCAACTGATTTTAATTTGAAGAGAAATAATAAATGTGGAAAGAAGAGTAGATAAGTATATTATCTTTCACTAAATAAGTGGTTCATGTGCTTATTATATAAGATAATTATTTTTATAGTCAGTAGTAACATATTGTGGTTGTAGACAACTGATTAAAACAAGAGAATTGTGTACAAACTGCAATTATTTCCAAAGGCCAGAGGCAAGTTGTTTCATGCTTCTTACTCCCCAGAAAGCAATGCAGATGGAAAAAAAAATCTGAAGAAATAAAACACAAAGAGGAAAAACAATTAAAATTGAATCAATACTTCCATTCAACCAAGTTAAAAATGTGGATAAAATAAACAAATATTTTAGACGGTTAGATAATCCAAACTGAATCTAGCAGCTGATCACTGATAAAATTTAGCCAGTCCAGCTAAAAACATAGTATGTGAAGCCAGGAGTAGGAGTAAAACTTTTTTTTTTTACATTTCCTTAAAAATTTTTTTATTAATATATAATTGACATAAATTTCTTATTAGTTTCAGGTATACAGTATAATAATTTGATATTTGTATATATTGCAAAATTATCACAATAAATCTAGTTAACATCCATCATCATACATAGTTACAAAATTTTTCTCATGATCAAAATTTATTTTTTTGTCTATGATTTTTTAAAATTTATTTTATTTTTTTAAATTAATTTATTTTTGGGGAGTAAAACTTTTTATCTCCATGGTTTTTCTTTTTTTGTTTATGCTCACAGATCTGGATTCTTTATAGGCATGGGGCTATGTGCATTAGATATTGAGTGAAACAGAACTTTTTTCTGGTACTGGGGCATACTGCAGATTGTATGTATTGTATTAAATGATGTCATTGTTTATACAGTTTAAGAAACTTTTGGAAAAGGAGAAATAAAAACATTACTAAAGACTAATTTCTCTCTGAGGCAATATGATCTAGCATTTAATGAACTTCACCCAACATGAATTAAATTCTGAACACTACTGGTAAGTACCTTGTCACTCTTTTGATCTTATCAGGTACAAAATGTAACTGCAAAATTCTTTTTAAAATTGAAGATCTACTAAGTCATTATAAGCATCCATAAGAGTTTATTGAATTTAGTCTTTACTCTCAAGTAATACCACACATTCCCAATAAATCACCAAAAATTAGCCAAATAAAACTCTTGATTTCTAATGATCCTAATAGAAATGACTATGCAGTTATCCTTAGCCAGAATTCATGCTTGTAGAATTTTTCGCTATGCATAATCAAAATGCCACAATACATGTCTAATTTTTTTGAGTTAAAATCCAAGCACTAGTTATATTCTTTACACTATCAGATGGTTCTTGAGCTAACTTTTCCTCTTACTATTATGTATATACCAAAATTAAACTATAGGAATGCTTACATGATCAGCATTTTTGGTGTTATTAGAATGATAATGAAAAAGAATGATACCCAAACAGCCAAGGTTAATGGGATAGCTGTGCAAGCGTTTCTCCACATTTAAAAAAAATCCATTATGCAAACTTCCTCTCCAAACTATTATAATATGACAGTTGCCTCTTCCCAAGAAGATCACTGTTTCTGAAAGATCCATGAAACCATACAAAGGAGCAAATTTAAGTAATAAATGGAGGCATAAGAAACCTGGAGTGATCGAGTGAATTGAAGTCAAGGCCACTAGCTGAGGCCAGCCACCAATTCACAGAAGATACCCTGAACTGTGGTATGTTTTCCATTAAAGACAGAACATGGAAAACAACAACAACAAAAACCCTTCTAAACATTGAAATTTAGGTTTTATAGGTAGGTTGTTCAGTTACATCTGAACCTTCTGATTCTTTCTAGAGAACCATGATCCTTTACATTCTCAAATCTGAGCGCTTTCTTCAAATCCATGCATTCCTTTCCGCCTATAACATCTACAATATGAAAAAAATACCCCAAATAAAATCAACAATTATATTGAAGCAGAAGTCAAGAATAATATTAACATTTTGGACTTACCTCAGAAATCAAATACAATATATTTAAAGTCTGGTTTTGATTTTGTTTCTTTTGACTGTAATTCAAGAGAAATAACCTCATGGGATTTCTCATGATGGTGCCAGGTAAAATAATACCAGGATTGGGGAGTACTGTGAAGGGCCTTCGATTTTGCAATGAATTACATTTGTCTATGAAGATGGGTTAATGTTCACAGGAGGGTAGCTAAGAATACAACTTTCAAGTAAGACAGAAATGATAAATCTATAACATCAGAATCAATAGTTTAACTTGGATCCGTAATATTCACTGAGCAACTAATATGTACCTTGAGTTGTGCAGGGCTCTGCAATATGAAATATATTTGGCAATAGGAGTTTTTATTGGTTTTGAAACTGGTGTCTAGGATCATAGGAATTATTTCCATGAGTGAAGGTTAGGGAGAACAATTTCAGTGAAACCTCTAAAACTGTGTGTAAAATATTGTATGTCATAATTCTTCTCTGCCCCACTTTCTACCCTTAGATGATCTATAATTTCACCTGGGATTCCAGAAATATAAAGAGCTTCTGATCTAGCAAAAGAGTGGAAAAGATTAAATTCTATTCCATGCCTTTGTTAGTAGTCAACAATTTTACAAGTAAATCTTTTCCCTTTTGAAACTATAATCAATCCCTGACCAGGTAGCTCACTTCGTTAGAGCTTCGATTCATTACACCAAAGTTGTGGGTTTGATCCCCAGTCAGCGTACATACAAGAACCAACCAATGAATGCATGGATGGGTGGAACAACAAATTGATGTCTCTCTCTCTGGCAAATTGATCAGTCAATAAAAAATTAAATAAATGAAAAGAAACTATAATCAAGTTCGATTTCCTTAGGGAACATTTCTAACTAAAACACAAAGATCTTCTTGTCTTTTCCAATTTTCTAAAATGCTTTTAGAGTCTTACCAAAAAATGCAATCTTACACATATTGCAGCTTCATTTTATTTAGTTGTGAGTTTTTTGTGTTTTTTTTTGGCTCCTACATTTATCCCTCCAAATAGATAAGGGGTAAAAAAAGCTGATGAAGCATAGGGGTCAGATTCAGATTCATGCACAGTGAGACCCTGGTTTAGGCTAGGCATTGTTCATAAGTACAAGATTATGATGTTTAATTCTCATGAGATATCATGGAGAATTGGTATCCAGTTTGCTGATGAAGCAATGCGGACTCAGAATTTATGTGGTTTACCAAGAAATCACAAACTACAAAACATCAGAGCTGGGACAATGTTTTTCATTTATTTAGTGTCCCCCCAAAAATCTAACTGCACATCCTTGGAAGTCAGGTCAATGAATATGAACATCAATAGTGAATTCATTTCCTCTTTTTTAGTCATCACCTGCACTTGCCTGGTGACTTTTGAGTCAGAAAATGCTAAGTTTCCGAGACCCTTTCACAATCAATATTTTCAGCATAAAAATGGAGTTTTTATATATAATGAAATCCAGATTGGCACAGGAGCACAGAAATTACATACAGTGAATATGTCCTTCTCAAAATATGCAAAACCCTGAAATATTAACCCTGTTCCATTACAAAATAAGTAGGAAAAAAACAGATTTACTTTTATATTTTTGAATATATATCTGTGTATATGTGTGTGCATGATCTAAATATACATTTCATATAAAATTTAAAGCTATACAATTATTTAATGTCTATTCAATATAACCACTTGGTTATTACAGTCATTCCATTTTAAATTTCCCTTTGTCCAACCTTCTCTTGATTTTCATATTAAGCTATTTTAGTTCTCTATAGTTGATGATTAAATATATCACTTGATATTCATTCATTAATATAAGTCTCAATCAACTGTTTGTTCAGTAAAGATAGGAGAATTACTACTTAGGCTAGTATAAGAAAAAATGGCAACCATAGTAGTTCTTTTTTGTTTTCAATATTCTTCTCAAATCTACATATATGATGTTTCTGGATATGTACAAACTCAACAAACACTTATTTTAGCCTAAGTCTGGGCAAGTTCTGTGATTTTAACACCTGGACCCAAAATATGAAACAGAGGAAGTGCACTCTCGGTGTCAAGCCCTCCTTGCACTAACACATCATTAATGGCCCTCGTCTTCAGGCTATTTCCTTGACTTCCTAGGGCCCTCGACTCTGATGCCTGAACTTTGGCCTGTACAGATGCTCTCCATGTTTCCTCCGCCCCTTTTCCAAAAGTTCATCAATTGGCAGGTGGTTAATCTGAGCCACTAATCCATACCAAAACACCAGTGGGAATTCATGTGTTGTTCTGCTGGTCCTCCCCATTATGTCTGTTTTAAGAGGCCTTATTAAAAATGGCTTCAATTACAAGCAAATCAGGCATCTAATCTTAAATGAAAGAGAAAAGATAACAAAGTGTGCCTGTAGCCTCTCCTCAAACCGCTACCCCTTAAACTACAAAACTAGTGGATTGTTCTTACACCTATGTACATATCCATCTCTCTTGGTTTAAATCCACCTACCACATGTTTTAACAAACAACTTGATGAGCAAAAAAATTAAATATCACCCTGAGAAGTGGACAATTTTCACTTGAACTAGCTAGCCATATCTCACACTTTTCACATCATTTAACCATTAGATAAACTTGCGAATATAATGAAAACTTTAAGGACCCACAAGAGAAATACAAACCTTTGAAATGGTTCAAATTTATTTTGATTCCCTAACATGCATTTATTTTTGCAAATATTGACATAGAAAACACTCACTTATAATGATAATATCTTACAATTATATGCCTATTCATAATGGTAATATAATTATAACTAATTTGTTTGTTCAACTTTTTAAATCACTAAAAAGTTGAATGAACAATTTAGAAAAACTAAGTCATTTTGTAAATAATGTGTAAAATTGCTTGCTAAATTCTGTCTTGATAAGGAAGAAACTTAAAATATTTTCAATAGCCCTGGCCGGTTTGGCTCAGCGGTTAGAGTGTCAGCCTGCGGTCCTGAGAGACCCGGGTTCGGTTCCCGCTAAGGGCATGTACCTCGGTTGCAGTTTGTCCCCAGCCCTGGTCGGTTGTGCGGGTGGCAGCCACTCGATGTGTCCCTTTCACATCGATGTTTCTCTCTCTCTCTCTCTCTCTGTTCCTCTCTCCCCCCCCCCCACTCTACCTGAACAAAAAATGGAAAAATGTCCTCAGGTGAGGATAAAAAAAAAAAAAAAATTTTCAATAGAAAATAGCATTTTTTGGTGAAGATTTAAGACTTAATCACATTTGAATAATTTTAAAAAATTACCATTTACTTGATTATATAAATTCTCCTGGAATAAATGTCCCTTTTTGTAACCTTAACAAATAATGCCCTGTTTACAAATAGAAGAGTATATTTTTATCTAAAAATTATTTCTCTGACATTGATGAGGTTCATAAAATACCAGTTCACTGCCTATTTAACACAAGTATAACAATCATAATAGCAATAGTTTGTTTTAATTGAGACATATTAAACATACAGAAGTGTTTATGAAATTATTTGGGCAAAATAAATATATTTTTAACATAATACACTGGGTTTTTAGAGATGATGACTACTGTGTAGACAAGCGCTTACACAGAGATCAAACCTGAATTGCTAGAAAATATCTCTATGTCCTATTAATGCAGGAGAACAGATAAACACAAACAGAACTAGAGTAAGAAATTAGACTGAAATGTACTGAAGGTTTTTTTAAAATGAAAACATTAGGAAAATATTAGGTAATGATAGATTTTTTTCCCCCTTGAACTTTGCAAGAACACAATTTGACAAACACTGACTCAAAAGAAATTGATCATTATTCTTCCAATTATCCTACATGTGACTAAAATACTGAGATGCAAATACAGACAAACAAACAAAAAAGGCTTAAGAGAAAGAACTTGCAGGCATAACACCTTTTACTGGGAAGTTTTGTGTTCTCTCTGTGTGTTTATTTCTATATCCTAAAGCAAGAGCAGATACGATTATAGCTATGTTTAATAGCTATACAGACTTATTACTATTTAGACTTTAAATAAACCATTATTATTTTATATTAATTTATATATATTATAATATATAAGATAATATATTTGATATATGTCAAAGTTCTTCACTAAGGAAAAACAACATAAAAAGAAAGTGTGTGTGAATACTTATGTAATAACAATGTCTTATTTGAAAAGATATACATTTTCCTTAATCATTAAGTAGCTTCTAATATGCATTTTTAAACAAGAGAATATACTAAACATACCACATTAATCTTCTTTTTCAAAAGCAAATACGAACAAAGTAAAATTAGAACAAACATTTTCAAGTAAATCAGGTGAACTCTGAAACCTGAAAAATCAGATACTCATAATATTACTACTCACTGATGGCAAAGATCCTTATAATTTTAGTGACAAAAAATACTAATTTTATTTAAACAAAAAAATACAGAAATTTTATTGCAACCATTTCTTTGGTTTCCCAGAAATGAATATATCTTATTATGTAAAATAATTTATTCACTTCTAAGATTCTAAACTATTCAAGAAAGTGTGTATTCTTTTCAACAATACTTTTATAGAATATCCGATTCATCTCTACCACACTTGCACTATCATAATAACATTTGAAACAAATAAATATTAGTAAGAAGATTTGAGATCACTTAAGGTCTCCAAAGCCTACCTACAGTTTAGAAACCATACTTGAAGACAGTTGGCATGAATTAGCTACTGTGCAAGCAAACCCATCTGGTGGAAATTGTATAAGCCGTAATTAGCATAAAGTGAAAATAGATGCTACATTTCTCAAAAACATCTGTAATTTTTTTCATCTTTGAATTAAAAGTTATGAATAAAGTATCTTTATAGATATATGACTTCACAATGATACACCTTAGATTCATATAGATTTCTTGGGAAATTTCTAAATATTTTAATCACACGCTTTCAACACCAGCTTTCCTTCTCATTTTTTCCAGATTATTGTTATTACTATTATTATTATTTTAGTTTGAAGTTTGTCAAAAGGACAAATATAAAAAATTCCCAACTTACCACAACTAACAGAAAAATTAGAGATAAGTCGACCAGACATGATTTATATCTACGGATGATCAAAATACGTGCCTTGTCAAAACTAGGGCCTGACTTTTATTTTTCTAATCGTCTGAGTTCTTAATGCCATGGAAAGGTAAGAACTTTTAAAACTTTTTTCTTGAACTGCAGGGGAGAAAACAGTATGTAGACATGGAGAGAAGGTTGCAATAAGGTCAAATTAATAAAGGACCAAATACCACTTGTCAGAATGAATGTTATGGTGACTGCTGACCTTTCTGTTGGGAAAAGATTTACGAAAAGTGTACATAATGGTGTACATAAAGGTGTACATAATGGAAAGGACCTTTTTATGCTCGTAACCTTCCTCTTGTACTTACCATGCATCCTCACCATCTTTGCTTTTTATAGATGTGAGAAGGAAAAAGATCAGGGCAATTAAAATTTTTAAGAAAAGCCTGTTTTAGTTTTTATAAAGTTAGGGATGAAATAGAGTTAAAAGAGAAAAAAAAAAAGGCATTTAATGAACATTACCTAGTTTGACTCTGTGCTGAGACCTTTGTTTCCTTTATAAAAAATCTTTATTGTTGAATGTATTACAGATGTTCCCCCCTTTTCCTCCCATTGACCCCACCTCCCCGTCTCACCCCCCTCCTGCTTTCCCTAAATTATTGTCCGTGTCCATTGGTTGTGCATATATGCATATCAATTCTTTGGTTTATCTTTTTCCAACCCCCCCCCCACCACCACCACCACCACCACCACCATCCCTCTGAGGTTTGTAGGTCAGTTCCCTTCTTCCATGTCTCTGGAGCTTATTTTGCTCATGATATTCCATAAATAAGTGAGATCATGTGGTACTTTTTTGTGTATTAAAATTAGTGATGGGCTAATAATTGAAACTAACCTGACCCCTTGCCTTGAACACTATGACTGTACTTTTTTTTTTTTTGCGTACAAGAGAGTTTAGTAAATTTGAAAATTCATTAGTTAATTTTTTTCACTTTCAGATTTCTGCAAATAAGTTCTAGCTACCACTAGGAATAAAATTTCATTTAAATTACCTCTCTATGCCTAGCTTTACCACAAAACTGTTTCCCTCATATTTAGCATGTTTTGAGATGAAAGCTTTTTGAAAAAAATGTTGCTGGATTAATTATGGCCCTTAAGTATCCTAACAGAACTCTTTGTAATGATAAAAAATCATGATATTTAACCTATAATTAAAATACGACACCATTTAAAAACCTTTTTATCCTGATTAATAAAAGTTGAAGCATTTACATTATAAACTAAGAACTCAGTCTGAACAGGAGTTATCAAGAAAACCATTCAGTCCCAATCTACCAAAATGCCACTTGTATGGTAAATGAGTGGCAGTCCCCTACCAAATAGTCCCATCACAAGAGCAAATTGGCTTTGCAGTGTGTCCTTCGTAGCAAGAGCAGGCTCCTGGCATCTCTGGGATGCAATTAAGAGCCTAGAGGTCATTTCACATGGATAATCATTATTAACACTTGATACATGGAAATTTATGTCTGGAAGAGTGTATGTTTACGAATGGAGAGCATAACTCAACACTGCTAACCCGAGGATTTTAGCGTGCTGTTAAAAAATTCCTTGTCCTTGCCTACTATCTAGGAAACAAATCAAGTCTCTTAAAAAACGAGTTCATTTTTAGAGGGGGAATAATGTCATGTTTACAGAAATAACAGTGATGTCTGGTTTTCAAAACAGGACAGTATATCTTGGAAAGATGTGTTTTGAAAAGATTCCTTTGTATTGTTTTCGCTTGTGGCAAAGGGGCGCCTGGAGCCCCAGCAAGCGCCTCCCCAGCCGGCTGAGCAGCGGCCCACGTATGGCTTGCAGCTTGCGGGAGTCCTCCCCACGTTCTGCCAGCCATGGGGCTTCTCGCGTAAGCTCTAAGTCATAAACTGCGTCCTACCAGGCCAGCCATGCCAGAACTGGACCCAAGGGTATACAGAGTCTCGGCTGATGGGAAAACAATGACTGCTTCCTAAGGAAGCCACAGCTGCCTTCCTGAGAGACACTCCAGATGCCTGCATTTTCCCTTACTTTCCATTTTTGACTACCTGTTCTGGCCGCAGTTCCAACAAAGGCGGAGGGAGGCTGCAGGAATGCAGCTGTTTTCAATAAGCCTTGGCAATGCAGGCACTGATTACATAAACACTACAAACATTCAAGGAGCGCAGTTGCTAGCTTTTAAGCTATAAAAAAAAGGCGTGAGCCTGTACCGACACCCTATAGCTCCTCTACTCCAAATTATGATAATGACGACCAGGATGATGATGATAACAATAACGGTAATAGTAATGATTTTAATATGCATGCAAAGGTTATTAAAGGAAACATGAGATAATGAATTACTGGGAAGGAGCTCAGATTGTACAAAGAGAATTGGAGAGATATGAAACTTCCACATTTCAGGGGCAAGAAAGTATGTATTTTCCTTTATGAAACAGGATCAAAATGTACACTTAATTTACAAGGTCTTATTTTCCCCACAACCAGGCAAAAAACAATCAAATGTTGCTTTATCCATTTGCATTCAAGTAAATTTTTCTTTTCATTCACATATATTTAAAAATGAATAAAGGTTAAAACCTCCAAGAAACTGTTTTAATGAAATATTGCATAAGGTTCGCTGTTTATATTAATATCAAGTCCAGAAACATAAATAAGATGTTGATTTACACTCTAATTAAGATTAATTTTTCCTGCTTAAAATATATATATATATCTCCACATTTTGGATCTGCTATTTGAAAACTGAAAGATTTAAATAACTCACTTATGCTTATAGGTCACAAATGCAGGTTTAATACTTTTAAATATTTTCTATATTTGACATATTAGATCAAGAATCTATACAAACATTGTAAGAACTGAAATAATATATGTTTCTAGGTGACTTTTCAATTTCCTATATAGCGAAGTGAGTTCCTATTATTAAGAAGAGAATTGAGCCCTGGCCAGTTTGGCTCAGCAGTTGAGCGTAGGCCTGCGGACCAGAGGGTCCCAGGTTCGGTTCCCGCTAGGGGCACATACCACCAAAAAAAAAAAGAGAAGAGAATTGAGCCCTGGCTGGTTTGGCTCAGTGGTTAAAGTGTCAGACCACAGACCACAGGGTTACAGGTTTAATTACTGGTCAAGGGCACATTCCTGGGTTGCAGGTTCGAGCCTAGGCTGCAGTTGGGGTCACAGAGGAGGCAACCAATTGATGTGTTTCTCTCACATTGATGTTTCTCTCTCTCTCTCCCTTCCTTCCATTCTATGTAAAAATCAAGGGAAAAATATTCTTGGGTGAGGGTTAACAACAACAAACAAGAACAGAATTGCCACCTGACCGGTGTGGCTCAGTTGGTTGAGCATAGTCCCATGCCCTAGGAGGTCACAGGTTTAATTCCAGTCAAGAGCACATGTCCTTGTTTTGGGCTAATCCCCAGTAGGGGGTGTGCAGGAGGTAGCTGATTGATGTTTCTCTCTCATCGATATTTCTATCTCTCTCTCCCTCACCCTTCCTTTCTCTGAAATCAGTAAAAACATATATATTTTTAAAAAGAACAGAATTGCTTTGATTTTTTACCTTAAGATTCTCATTTATTTTCATCTCAATGATTCACAAGAATGATCTTTGGCTATGCCAATTTTCTTTAATATATCTGTTGTTTTTGCTATAATTTTCTTTTCTATATGACTGCTTTATATATTGTTTGTTATGAGATTTAAATCTAACTCTTTAAAAGAACAAATGATACTGAATAAAAGCAGGGAAGGAAATGTTTTTCAAGTTGTTCTAGAAAAATAATTTTGGTAAAGTGATAACTAATATCAAAAACAAAGCTATTGATGGGAAATCTGAATATCACTGGTAAATTAATGAATAGACTAAGAATGATAAACCACATACACATTGCAATTAATTTAGGATGTAAAGTGACCCTAGCCAAAGCAGGAAAACTTTGGGAAAGAAATAAGGCTTGTTTATCCCCACTTAACCTGAATTATTTTGCCTCAGGAAGTTACATGAAATTCCAGGTTCTGCCTCTATAAAAGTGGGAGTAATACCTTTTCTATTTTTTCACAAGGTTATGGTAAATATTTATTCAATTCTTTAAAATTGTAAAGTATTATACAAATATAAGATAGACTATTAAGCTTACTATTTTTCTTCCTAAAAAGATTCAATAACCAAAAAGTGCAAAAGGAGAGAGGCAGATTCATGAATTATAATAAAATTTGGAACCTGAGAGATTTTAACAATGACAGTTCTTTCTCATGGACATAAGTTAAAATGATTCCTTAAAAGCTGTAGATATATAATTTTCACTGGGAAGATATAATTCTCCTACAAAGTAGAGTAAAATTTTAATAGTTAAGTACAATTATAGATAGATTATTGTCTAAAATATTTCCATTTTGTATCTCATCCTGTAAAGGACAGAGTTTAATTTCTTGACAAGTTTTTACAACTCTAGTATATTTTTAGTATCCTAAAATGTTTTACTTTTAATTATTTGACACAAAAATATGGAATAAATAATATTTCTATCCCACCCCTATTACCAAACTACTGTTTTGTTATCTCATGTTGCATTAAATTTTCTATCCATATATAAAATTACATTAAAATAATGATTTTTACACAGATGTTATTCCAGGGGAATCCTGAGCACTATAATAGAAAATATCTTTCTCAAAAATTCTATAATAAATAAGATAATTCTTTATAAGTAGTTTTTCTTGAAATATCCTTTGACAAATGTAAAGAAATAAATTAAGCAAAGATGAGTCAAACCAATACTGAGCGGAACTAAGATAATGACATGACAAATATTTTTAATATATATAATGGCAAAGAATGTGGCCAAACTTAAGGGGCAGTAATGGAGGAAGAATGGTAAGAAAATGCCAGCAAGGGCAGAAAACCTGGACAGACACTTCTCCAAAAAGGACTACAGATAGATGGCTAATAAATATATGAAAAGTTGCTTAACAACACTAACCATCAGAGAAATGCAAATCAAA